GGATATATATATATATATATATATATATATATATATACAGGAGAAATTTTATTGCAAGGGTCTTCTTTTTACGAACAATTTTGTCACATAGTTTGTAATAGTAAAAGATCTATGGAAATTTTTGTAAAACAAAAATGTAATTCAATTCTTTTAATTTTCGAAATTAAGAATTTTTTCGTTGATATTCTTACTTGGTATGTGTAGAATCTGATAAATTATTAGCCACTACATGTCATTTTATAATAAAAATGTAATTCAGAGAGACTACATAGCGTTTTATTATGTAAACAGAACATAGATTGTTTAAAGAATCCAATGAAGGCAGATGCATGCTTAATGTAAGGAAATAAAAAAATTTGTTATTGTTTTAAAACGAAAGCTCATCTTTGAATTTCACAGTATGGGACCCTTTTAAGAAAGAAATTTCCATAGTCACCGTAGAGCATGAAAAATTCATGAAATGAAATTAATTTTGGAATTACCCTTTGTGATCGCGGTCCTGTTCTGTTGTTCTTCTCCCACAGATCTTCGTAGTCTATACAATCAGTCTTGTACGGAGCAGGAAGAAGATGATATTCAACCTGAAAGCACGGAAGAATTTTAATTTTCTTGTTTCTATGTAAAATCTTAATTTTCAGGTGATACTATACAGCATTATTGTTTTTACGAGGTTGAAGTTGGTTTACACTTGTTAATGTTCATGTATCAATTGGGGTAAACATTGTAATGCAATACGTTTTAAATAAATGCAAATCGGAAGTATATAAAAAGTCTCCCGAATAAAACCCCATCACATGTATGTTTAAATATAAAAGTATTACATATAAACTCGTATGAAACATGTAATTATTAAAACACTACAGTGCGTCTATTAATTTGGTCTGGGACAGACACTAGGTTTAAGAGTTATTGTTTTATTTATTATTTTTTAGAGTAATTGATATAGTCCCCTATTGTACTAATATAATACCTGATATAATAAATATTCTATATTTATATAATATATCGTCAAATTTATCCCTTCGTCGAATTTCTATTATATATCGTCTAATTTATGCAATTGATACACGAACATAAACAAGTGCAAATTGGCTTCAATCGCTTAAAAATAATAAAGCTGTATGGTATGTCCTGATAATTAAGATTTTGCATAGAATCTTATAGCGTGTCTAATAATTTAACATGGGACTGTATTTCTCATGTTTCAAAGTATTAGGAAAAATAAGGAAATTTTTGTTTTAAATAGAGGCCACTCTTAAAAACTGAATATTTTTACGATGAAAAAAAAAAAAAAAACTTCATATCTCTTTAAATAAAAGATTCGCAAAGGCCACCGACGCTACTGTTCTGCTGTGTGTGCTACTTACCGTGACATTTTGGTTTCTTGCGAAAAAGCTGCGCGATTGAAAAACTTGAAATTAAGGAGGTGAGTCCAAAAAGTGTACATGGAATACTTTGAAAAAAAAATAATATTCGATAACTTTTCGTGAATGATTATTTGTTAAGGACCAACCGTAGGGCATATATCAATAATGATAAAATTGACCTTTTTTGATATACAGTGCTTCGAAAAACTAAAAGGATAATTATTAGCTATTATAAATAAGAAATATTTATAAATAAACATACATATAAAATTATAAATTATCAATTTATTAAATTTTATGAATTATTTTGATATTAAATTTTCCTTTTGAAAATTACTGTCAAAAAAACAATTTTTGTGCAGAAAATATTAAATAATTAAAAAGAAATCCTTTAATTGAAATTTAGCCGATCTTTTCATTTGTTTAAATATTTGTTATCAAAATACATAAACAATCAGATAAATAAAAAAAATACTTAACAACCATCTTATTCATTGTATCTAAAATCTCTTTCATTTACTCCCATTTTAATCCTCCTTTCCATAAAACATACTCATACAAAAAAATAAAAAAAAGTTCGGAAGTCTTTGGTACGCCAAATTCGTTTTCTGTTTTGTATGAATTAGACCGAAAATATTCTTTCTATTGATGCTGAGCTGCATAGTCTAGAAAGTAGCGATACTAAAGCTACTACAACATAATAACATGTAGTTAGGAAGTTTATTTTAATAACTGCACTAAATATAAATAGTAAATTTACTTACATCCTTGAATTGATAGACTGAAAAAATTATTAACTCCTTTAAAGATTTATAATTTTTATAAATTATAATTAGTTCACTAATCAATGAACTAATTAATCATTAATAAAATTAACATTAGTACACTGATACTGGAAATATTCATGTACATATAAGCAGGAATGTAGAAAATTCTCAGAGCCTAATATTCCCAATAACAAAGTTTTTTTTTTGGACCAAAATTTCTCCCAAATTTTTTTTCTTTTATAAAAAGAAACATGTTTGGAAAATAAACTTTATATAAGAAAAACATTCATTTGATTTTACACAATTCTTGAATAAACTAGCATATGTGTTACAAGATAATAGAAATCAATATATATTGAAATGTTAATAATTTATACAATTAAACTTAAAGTCTCACTTATTTACTAAAGGAATTCAAAGCCATAAATACACATATTGACATTTGTTTTCCGAACAAGAAAAAGTTTTTCAAAGTGACACATTTTTTAACAAATAATTTTGAAGGAATTTTTATAGACTAAAAATTAGTCCATTGTTGTCTGAATTTCCTCCAAAGTATTGTTCGCACGATCAAACATATTCTGTTCACCTCAATATAATGAATAATAAGAAATATTGAGAATCACTAGAAAAAAAAATTATACGTTGAGATCAGACAATTATTGACAACCACTTTAATTTTATTTAATCCAAAAAATTTGATTAAATTATAACATAAAAAAAATTCAACTCTTTTTACGCATATTGTATTCCAAGTTTAAATTTTTTTTAAGTAGAATTGATTATTTTTCAAAGCGAGACATCATTTCGTATCATTAAAATTTACACATATCATACACTGAAACGTGAGCTTAGCTACCACTAGAAAATTTTTTCCCAAAGAATGATGCTATTGAGCGAAGTTAAAATGTAAAAGTAATTTAAAAAAAATATTTAACAGTGTTGAAAAAAATTTAACATTACTATAAATGTTCAATTCCGTAGCCTTGTAAAAATCGTAAACCTGAAATATAAAAAAGCAAATACTAATAAAAACATAAAATAAACTTACTCACAAGAACCGTTAGGGATCAGGAGATAGAGCGTATACCTTCTAAAGAGGTGAACCGGGTTTGAATCCCAATAATGGCTGGTCGATACGAATTCCGCATCCGGCTTGCACCGACTACAGTGCTGACGTGAAATATCCTCAGTGGTAGACGGATCATGGGTTGGAGTCCCCTTGCCGTCATACAAATCGAGAGAGTTTTTCGTGGGTTTCCTCTCCATGTAACGCTAATGCGTGTTACTTCCATGGAAAGGTCCTCCACAAAGGCAAATTTCGTACACTACTTGGTACTGGAGTTCTCTCGTCTTCTGGATTGGGTTCAAAATTACAAGGCTACGGAGTTGAGCATTAGTATTCGTAAATCCAAAAATTTGGTCGGCAGTTTAACGACGGTTATAAAATAGATAAGTGTCACATTTACACTTAATGTAAAGTGACAAATTAATTTCTAATTTTACTTAAGCCTTTAATTTTTCTTTAAACGTTATTCCCCTTTTTTTATTTTAGCAATTTTTTTTAACTTTCTTGTTGACCTTTCTCATGGTCGTTGCGGTCATCGCACTTCCTGTGGGGAAAGTCAGCCAACCCCTCTATTCACGCCTTTCTTTTTCTTCCTTTAATTTTAAGGGGGCTAACTAACCAATCTCTTTCCTTTAAATTTCAAACTCTCCGCCTCTTTAAATTTTAATTGGTCGTAGTTTTTCTGGTCTACCCCAGTTAAGGAATTTTTTAAGCTTTTGGAAAAGATTCTTTTTTCTGGAGCCTTCGGGCAGGTTAACTTTTTCTTCTTCTCCGAGATGCGGACTTTGGTCCGTATCGAGGGATTTCTTTTTACATTTTTTCTTAACCTTTATCTTAAATTAAATCCATATCTATAATCAAATTCTGTAAATTTAAAATCAAAATTTTATACCTTTAATTTTTCTTTAAAATTAAAAGCCCTCTCAAATTTAAGCTTTCTTCTCATATTTATTTTAACGGTTAAATTACTCGTTCTTTTATATTTAACTTTTTGCATGACGCCTTTGGTTTCTTTAAATTCTCTTGTCACCCATTTCCTTCTAAAAGATATATTTTTCCTGTGCCATATAATGTGTTGGAATCATGTTGCTTATTTGTTACGCAATAATCAAAATAAGTAGTTTTACAAAAATAAATGTTTAGTTGAACAGAAAGTTTTGTGTGATTTTTAGCTTTACCTTTATAGCTACTATTTATCCCCTTTTCTCCTTCTGTATGTGGTGAGTACCTTTTTATTGTTATGGGCATGCATATATGTGAATTTATTAGTTTTTCTTATTGGAAACATCAGCTTACTGTATTAAATCATATGTATTGTTTGGATATAGCATGACTTTATCGTATTTATCATTAATCTTTAATTTTCTTAGTTTTCACCCCTTATTCTAAATTTGGTGATACCAATTTATCCAATTTGTTCAAACCTCACACTTTGTGACCCTTTGTACCTATTGGGTTATTGTTATCCCACAATTGCATTGTACAACCACTTTCCTTAACGATCACATTCCCCTTTAATTTAATTTAATTACCCTTTTATATATTTCGGCCTTGATTATATTTATCACGACGTTTCAATCATTTAATTATTTTTCATCATGACTATTTCCAAATATACATCCAAATTATGTAACCCATTTATCCATTTTTAATAAATTATGCATAAATAACCTTATCCTTATACGCACCAAAAATTCAAATTTAATTAAACTTTCACAAAAAGCATACTCAAAACTAATGTGGATTAGTTGGTTGATTGAAAGTGAAAGCAAAAATGCATGTTTCATTAAACGTAGTCATAAATGTGACTATTTCATGTTATTTTTCCTGAATAACGTTTTAAAATGACACTTACTCAATACGATACAAAAACGTACTTTCTGTCCATAAGTATACCTTTTTTTCAAAAGATTTGAATTTTTGACCCTAAAATATAGGAGTCTGGGATATATGATCTCCTTACTTTAGACAAGAGAGCGAATTTAGTGATAAAATCTAATTTTTTTTAATTATTGTATTTTATTATGGTTAAAACGTTTATCGAATGAGATGCATAGAATTTTAACAACATTTTAAAATATATAATTTTACGTGGTCAAACATAAAATTTGATCAAAATTGGTTGAATGGTTCCTGTGAAATCAAATTTTAAATGTACGATTTTTTTAAAATTTTATTGCTCATGAGCTAATCGACATATTTCGCCCAAATTCTGTATTTTGCCATGTAAAATTACATTCTTCAAAGTTATGTAAACAAATTTATACATTACAATTAAAAAGTGTTCGACTCCATATTAAATAGAATGATAGAAAATAACTACTGAAATTTGTTTTTTACATGTAATTATCTTTTTTTAAA